GGCTCACTGTAGCTTCTGCCTCTTGGGTTCAAGCGATTCTCCTGCCTCAGCCTCCTGAGTAGCTGCGATTACAGGTGCGCACCACCACACTCAGCTAATTTTTGTATTTTTAGTAGAGATGGGGTTTCACCATGTTGGCCAGGCTGATCTCAAATTCCTGATCTCAGGTGATCTGCCTGCCTCAGCTTCCCAAAGTGCTGGGATTACAGGCGTGATCCAGCCAAGTTTTACTTTTCATAATTTGTATTCCTAAAACAATTTTATTAAATATAAATCATAATATTAACATACATACCCACCAAATTATTATATATCCCTTGAAAATCACTGGCTTGAAGAATCACTAAACTTATTCTAAGCTAAGTATTCGAGGCTCACCCTCAAGTATCTTGCCATATCAGTAACTTATGCATACATCTAGAGATACTCAGCAATGCAGAAGAAAGTATGAAGTAAACACTCAATAAATGATTATTACTTGAACCAGTGAGTTAAGAAGGGGTCAGAGAAGAGCATAAAGCTCAGTGAGTTAACAAATAACAATTACCAAAATCACCAATTTAGAAGGTACCCTACACTCATTCCAACTTCTAGAATTTGAGTTTGTGGTTATGAGAAAGTCACCCATTGATAGTAAAACTTGACAAAGTAAACATATCATGGACAAAACTAAATGATCTTTTAAAATGATACATAAATTATAACCAAAGAGAAATAAGCAATTATGATCAGAGCCCAAAGGATATTCTTGGGAATGAAATGTAAAGAAAGAAACAACTAAATCAATTAAGAATTTACCAAGAAGTAATACAAGGGCTGGGCCTTGAATGGAATCTACAGAAAGGCAGGGTATTGTCCAGCACTGAAGATGTTCTAATAGTAAACATCAGCATAATACTTTAAGGAATTAGTTCTATAGCTGAGAAAAACAATCCACCATATTATCCCCAGCCTAAAAAAATGTCTTTGAAACATCTAACATTGTTCTAATTGAAGGATGGAAGATCCTGGGTTACTGCTTCCTTCTCCTGTACCTAAAGCAGAAATCACTATGAGATCACAGTTCTCTTTCCTGATGAGCTCAGATGCTCCCAAACATAGAAGTTCCGGGCAGCTACAACCAACAAATCAGACCTGGCTCACACAGTGAATCTATATTCAAATTCCACATACAGCAAGCATCTCTCTGACCTAATAACTTAGTCTCAGCAGACAGGGTGGTTCCTTATGTGCCACCTACCTGGTTTCCAAGCTATCTCGTTTCTCCCACCAAAATTAGAAAACTGGCATTCTTGACAGTTTGACTGACAAGAAGTTCAGTTCTGGAGTTGCCCAGAAAGACAAAAATTAAAACCTGTGGCCCTGTCAAACTGAAAGTCAGATCCTGGACTGGAGATCATCCTATCAGTTACAATAATTTGCCAGCTGAGAGTAACTAGCTGGCCTCCCTCCTTAGCTGTTCCTTGAGTTACTAAAGCAAAACAGACAGGAGTGAGCCCCTGGAAGCCAGTGGGTGTGATTTACCTTTATACCAATCTCACACGGGGTATAAATTCCAAAAGACATTGCTGCATGGGAGAACATTTCAATCATTTCAGAGTGCAGAGAAAGAGGGAACACCAGTTAAAGAGGATCATCTTCTATGGGAGAGGATTCTGAAGAAGGTCTAATAGTAGGAGGCAGCTAAGAAATTCACAGCATAATGTGACGAAGCTCAGAATGTAAAGTCAGAAGAGTTTAAAACTGAGAAATAGCTGGGTGCAGTGGCTCACGCCTATGATCCCAGCACTTTGGGAGGCTGAGGCAGGCAGATCACCTGAGGTCAGGAGTTCAAGACCAGCCTGGCCAACATGGTGAAACTCCATCTCTACTACAAATACAAAACTTAGCCGAGTGTGGTGGTATGCGCCCGTAGTATCAGCTGTTTGGGAGGCTGAGACAGGAGGTGGAGGTTTCAGTGAGCCAAGAT